TTTAAATAAATTCAGAATATATCCAGAGAAGGAAAGAATGGGGAAAAAATGAAAGGGAGGAATCTAAATGCTTTTTATATAATGCTTTTCTTTCTTTTTTAAATCTTTGTTTCATTACAATAGCAAATTCCAAACGAAATAAATTTAAATACTTTAAAAATAATAATTGCAGTTATCAGTGACTGGGGAGTTTGTATTATAATCTCTAAGCATGTATATGTGGAGCCAGTTTGGTGTAGTGGTTAAGGTGTCAGACCAGAAACCAAGAGACCCTTAGTGGTTAGGTGACCTTGGGTCAGTCATTTCTCTCTCCCCTGGGAAGAAAGAACTGCCAAGTCGTTGCTGAAAAATGCTTCCAAGAAAAGTGCAGGGGGCAGTTGCCAGCAGTCCAAAATGAGTTGAAGGCACAGCTTTCAAGTACATATGTGACATACTATTATGCTTTCTAGTTTCAGTTTAACTAAGAAATATGTGAATATCTTAGCATGTTGCTATTATACATACTTGCAATTTACTCATATTCTTGTATTGCGGCACACAAATTTGTACTTGGTTTGGGAAAGCCTCCACAAAACAATTTTTATCTGCAAATGGCACATCAGAAACTAGAGGGAGCATTGCAGGGAGCTGATAGGTGCGACTAGGGGGTGAGAAGGTGGTTGTGCGATAATATGGCAGTAGGCCGGGAGGAAGTTCAGAGTGGGATGATGGGGAGAGGAACGATAGGAAATAGGCCCAGCTTGGCACATCTAGTGGAAATCGAAGATAAGTTTGCACATGTGAAAGGCAGAGGTCAGAACCTGACATGCAAGCACATGATCAAAACAACAAAACAGTTCTGGAAGTCTCACACTTCGCAGCCAAGCTCCTATTTTTGAAAATTGCAGTCTGTTTTTGGTAAAAAATGCAGAAGAATGTTTATTATAAAGAATTTTGTGATATTTTTAGTAACTGAAGAGCTATTAGTAAAAAACACAACTGTCAATTTGGCTTTGCATAGGAGCTGTTTTTGTGGCATTGTAAATTTATATTTTCATTGATTGAGTGCCTTGTGGCACACTAAACAGTCATGCCATCCATTTTGATACATAGGTATGGATTCTCCTGTGCAGTAATGAATCATGTTGTGCATTAGGCAGCTTTTGCTTTAAGTCAGGGTTTCACTCATGTTGGCAAAGTACCATGTTGCCATGAGGCAAGCGATCTACTGGATTTCATATGGAAGCTGAGCAGATGAGAGTCCGTTATTTCTGAGAAAGTAAGAGAAGGCAAAAGTGATAAGCGTGGGGCTCCACTTCCTTTTCTCAGGATTCTTGTTCTCCTCATAGCATGTTCTGTCTCTTTCGCACCACATGGAAGTGCCTGTCACGTTCTGAAATTTGTTCTCTATGAGTACCCTAGTGGGGAAGGCTTCATGCCACCTATGCAAGTAAATCTGACCCTCAAGGTTTTTTTAAGCATAGTTTGTGCAGTTGATCTGTAATTTTGATCCATGCACCACAAAAAATCATTCTGTGTTAAATGATATGCAGGAAATGATGTTTTGTTGCTTTCATGTTCATCGAGTCTTTACTATAGGTAAAAAAAGGTTAAGAATAGTCTTTGCTGTAATTTATGTAAGTTAAATTATAAATTTATTTATAATTAGAAATATAAAATTATAAATTATTTGTTTTTAAACTTATTTAAATTTTATATTTTATAGGAAAGGGTATAAATCATGTTGCATTCTATGAGCAGTAAGGAAAGAAAAGAAAAGCAGTAGAGTCACTTGTACAGTGAGATGGGTGGCGTATATAAATTTGAAAATGAATGAATGAATGAATGAATGAATGAATGAATGATCCATACAAAAAGAACACAGAATTTTTCAGACAAGATGGGAGCTAGATTATTTCTTTTCTGAAGTAAAAAACAAGATTTTATGTTTGATTTGTAGACATGATATTGGTCTTCCCAAGGAACATAATTTAAAATGCCACTATAAAATACACCGTTCTGAGTATAAGCAATACTTAGGAAAATAAGAGAAGATAAATTAAGAAATTTGAAATCTGCACTTCAAAAGCAACAAAAAGTATTTACAAAAATCCATGAAGACAGCCAGAGGGTGGTCAAAGCAGTTATGTTGTTTCAGAACTAGTAGCTAAACATTCAGAATATTTTAGTGAAGGTGAATTTGTGAAGGACTGCATTGTGAAAGCTGCTGACATTTTTTGTCCTGAAAAAGTTAATTATTTCAGAACATTTCATTATCATTAAACACTGTTATGAAAAGAATTAACAAGATTGCCACTGATATAAGTGGAAAACTTAGAATTGGAAAATTGTCTGACTTTTTTGATTGCAATTGATGAAAGTACAGTGGATTGGCTCAAGTAGCCGTATTTATTCACGCATGTTCCAAAAATGTTCATGTGAGTGAAGAATTACTTGATATTCTTTCTCTTAATGACACTACAACTGATGATATTTTTAAGAAATTCTGTGGACTTTTAGAAAAGTATAGTCTTCCATACAGATGTTGGAATGGAACAATGTAGCAGCAATGATAGGGAAGGCAAATGGATTTGTAGTTAAATTATTGGCTAAGCAAAATGAAATTGTTCCTGATAGCTTCATCACGTTCACTGCATCATACATCAGGAAGTGTTGTGCTTAAAAAGTAATGAAAGTGGAACATGTGCTGAAGTTTGTAGAGAAAACTGAATTTTTATGTTCTTGAAGATTGAATCAATGTCAGTTTTCTTGGAAATTGAAAGTGAGCAGGAACGTTTACTTTATTATACAGAGGTTCACTGGCTTTCCTGTCTTAAGGTTTTGAAGTAAATCTGACAGCTTCGCCATGAAATCAAAAGGTTTTTAGAAGTGAAAGGAGAGTCACCAAAACAACATAATAATAACTGGTTTCAGGATTTGGCTTTCTTTGTAGATACTACAAGGCATTTAAATGAGGTGAATTTAAAACTTTAGGGTCAAAATCAGGTTGTAATGTTTATGTATGACTGCATTAAAGCATTTAAGATAAAATTTGGTCTTTGGAAAGGCAACTAAAAATTGTGATTTGACTCATTTTTCTACATGTGAAAATTATCAAAAGATTATCAATTATCAATAACTATTTGGTTCTTATAATTTCAGCAATTCCTCAGATATTCGGGAATTACTATTTGAATTTGAAAGGCATTTTGAAGGATTCAAAATGTGTGAAAACAATTTTTTACTAATCAGTGATCCATTTTTTTTTTATGTTGAGAGAGAAAAAAGTAACATACAAGTGGAACTTGTTGAAATTCAGTGTAACACAGTGGTAAAAGAAAGGTATAATGAAGTTAGTGTTCCAGATTTTTATTCTTACTTGCCAAGACATTTTGTTGAAATGTGCATGTTTGCTGCAAGAATCTTAACAATGTTTGGTAGTACATACCTATGTTGAACATTTATTTTCACTCCTGAAGATAATTAAAATTTCACACAGGGCAAGATTAACAAATGGACATTTATTGTCCATACTGAAAACTGTGTTATAACAAAAGCTTATACCCAATATTGGTAAAATAGTTTCTAGCAAAAATATGTCAAGTTTCTAGCAAAGAATATTAAAATAATTTTGAATCTTCTTGTAGTGACATGCTTTATAATGATTTTGAATCTATTCAATATTAAATTAAAATTGTATGCTTCTTTTTATAGGTAGTCCTTGGGTTACAATGGCAATTGGGATGGGGATTGATGTTGCTCAGCAATGTGGTTGTAAAGGGCAACATCACATGACTTCATTGCTTAGCAATGGCAATCCCAGCAGTACCAGTTGCCCTCGTAACCCCGGGAATGTGCGGTTGTTAAGCAGGAAAAGGCAGGAGTCCAGGCAAGGAGTGCAGGGGGTGGGGGTACCATGGGTGGATGCTAGGGAATGCAGTCAGGCTGGTGAGGGCTGTGGGCAGGTGCTGGGGAGCTCGGGCAGCCTGGCAAATGCTGCGGGCGGGCTGGCGAGGGCCACAAGTTGCTGGTTCTCAAGGAGTATTGTAGTCTAATTTCTTTTTTTACCTTTATTCTTCCTATAGATGGTTTTGTATTAGTAATGAGTGCATGTTGAATTTGGAGGAGGGAGAAGCTAATGCAGATGTACAGGGAAAAGATAGTTAGCATTTGAGAATAGGCATTGCAGATCTAGGGACTTAAAAGTGATTGAGAAAGCCTGATACATCAGTAAAAGCTACTAGAGAGGCAGGCAAATTACTATGATGAGAAATTTGTTGAAGTAATAGGTTGTAGACTACATGCATAAAAAATAATAAACCAAATTATATTGATGTGAGAAATATGGAAAGTTTTAACAGTGAGGTTGCAAACCTTGAAACTCTTGTCATTCCAGTCATAGTAGGACCTCAAGCTCTAGATACTAGATTACAGATTAACAATTATTTGTAGTTTGTAAGGGTTTCTGCATCACTTCTAGTATATTACATGATCATCCTATTTGATTAAGAGGTTCCTTGAAGAGAAATTACATACTTAAGAAATGAAGGCAAATAACCAAGGACAGTGGAATGTGGGCGATCGGGATGAAAATTCACACTGAACTTTATTGATATTATTGAAGAAATTGCCAAAAGCTTTGGCAGGGATGGGGAGCAAATGCAACCCAGTATATTCAAAAAGCAAATCAGGAACGGAAAAGAAAGTGCAAAAGCAATCTCTTAAAATAAGGATTATTGTAAGGGAGGATATCTAGAATTGTATGCCTATGCTGAGATAAGTTTATGACAGATCTTAGAAACCTTATACAATATTTGTTCATGAGTCATATTATTTATTTGTTTATTTAGCAACATTTATAGCTAAATATACCCATCCCATTCCAAACAGAATCTAGTGCCTTTTTCAGATGGTATTGGTGGTTGTTTTTTTTAAAAGACTTTGATTTCTGTAATTATTGTTTCCAGTCGGGATATTTCCAGAAAATAAATTAAGCATTCTAATTTATAATTTTTTTTCAGCTTATCACCTCAAGATTGATGCATGTTTTCATCATTACTTTAAGCTTGCTGAGAGTTTGGATAAACATGGCGCAATTCCAACAAGGAGGTCCTGATGAAAAAGAGAAGACTACAGCATTAAAGGGTACAAATTAATTTGGAACTTCTCCTCCATAGGCACTCCGTAGACTGTGTTCTGATGAACTATAATTTTGTGGTTAGTAAAACAGGTGAGCAAGTGCAAATGATACAACCCACATTTCTTGGCTGCAATAAATCTCTTACATATATCCATAATCCAGAATTTTTGTTCTTTGCTTTGAAAAAGGATATATCAGCATACAAAGGGAATGCTGTAAGCTGTGATAGATCCCCCTGTCTGAAAAAATCCTATTATGGAAAGAAAAAAAAAATCAGAGAAGCTACAACTTATGCATATTAGCAAACACACAAAGTGAGCAAAGCAGTGTGTGGGAATAGCTTTAAAGTCTGTACAAACATATCTCAATTGTTTGCAAAAGCTGATCTTGAATTAATGTATTATAATAATTTCAAAATAATTTAAGTGGAAAGACATACAAAATTCCACAATGGCAGCCTGGCAAAAATGAGGTGTGTGTGTGTATTGGGAGGAATTGTTGCTTACTTGGTTCACTTTTGGATTTCCACAGTTTTTAATCTGTTGCAATTTGGGATTCTGAATCCTAATCCCTGCTGAGCTCTCTTCAACATGCCTTTTTTTCTCCCTCCCAACACTATATCCCATTTTATATGCTGTTTCAAGTCTTTAGAAATAGAGTGGCATGAAAACTGTCGATCAGTGTATACTATCCTGAACTATTTGGAAGACTGACAGAACACAAATATCACCAATATGCTCCTTGGAGGCAGTATTCACATGATAGAATTCAGGCATCTTCACTCTGCAGGAGGCAGGGCAATTGAATTTCCCCACTCTCCTATGGTGCTGTCTTCCTCTGCACTTTCCCTCAGTCAATACAGATGCAAGTTCATGTATTATTATTGTTATTAAAAAAAAATAACTGGGCAAATGTGTAAAATCAAGACTGCAACATAATGAATTTGCATGTACTGCTTATCTTTATTCTGTTAGCAAGAATGTAGTTATACATTAAGTAAGTATAAAAACGGAGTTAGGTGGTAAATATTTAGGCTTGTTTGAATATGCTTCTAGGAATAATTCAAGTTTGTTTGTTGATTCATTTATAAAAACACATTTTTAAGGCCACATGATTCGAAAGTTACTCTAGGTGGCTTACAAATTAAAAAGACAAGAAGCATCACAATATCAGAAAGAAATGATAGTTACCCAGAGGGAACAAAAATCCTCTTCCCTCTACGACTCCCATATTAAAGGGTCCAAACAACCACCCTAGCCCAAGGCCTGGATGAAGAGTCAGGTTTTAAAGGGTCAGTAGGGTCTAGAGCAAGCCAACTCAAATTGTACAGGATGGGCAGAAACCATGGGAGACAGACAGTCCTTCAGTTAACTAGCCCTATGCCATTTAGGGCTTTATAAAATGATAAGCAGGACCTTGAATTGCACCTGGAAGCTTATTGGTAAGCAGTGCAGCTTGCAGAGCAGAGGTTTTACATGGGAATAAGGAGACCTGCCCATAACTACTTCTCCCACTGCATCCTGGGCCAACTGCAGCTTCTGTGTGTTCTTGAAAAGCAGCCCAATGTAGAGCAAGGTGACCAAAGCATGAGTCTAAGGAGAGCCTCCCTCCAGGAACAAGTGCAGCTGGCACACAAGATGGATATGTGCAAAGGCCTTTCTGGCCACAGCTGCAAGCAGCTCCTCAAGTAGGAGCTGAAACCCCCCAGATTGTATACAAGCCCCAAATGGAGAAGTGAGGTCCCATTCAGGACCAAAGGTGAAAAGACTTTCTTTGTACAAGAATTGCTATTTAAAAAACATTAACTCAAATTGTTCAGAGATCTATAAATACGGTTTACAGATGTTGTATAAAATTAAATAAATAAAAGTTTCCACCCATTGGTTTTTGCTTATGGAGAATAAATCCAAACCCTCTTCCTTGTGATAGCATTTCAAGAATTGGAAGACTGCTATCCTGTCTTCCCTTAGCCTTCTCTGCTATCCAATTATTTTAATCGTTCTTCATAGGATTTATCCTCCAAGATCCCCACATTCTTTGTTGCTCTTCACTGTTGATTCAGCCCAAGATTGCATTGGCTCTTTGGGCAGCTGCAGCACATTGCTAACTCAGCCTTAATCTGTGGTCTACTAGCACACCGAGATCCATCTGACAAATACTACTGAGAAACTAGGTACTACCTGTCCTGTACTTGTGCATCTGTTTTTTCCTAGTTAACTGCAAAATTTTACATTTCTCACAGCTGGATAGAATTTTGTTGAATGGGGTACAATGTTCAAGCCCATCAAGATCCTTTTGAACCTTGAGTCTGATGTGTTAGCAGTCCCGCCCCCCCGCCCCCAGTTTTGTGTTGTCTGCAGATTTGCTGATCATCCCTTCTATTCCTTCATCTAAGTCATTTATGAAAATGTGGAAGAGCAGTGGGCCCAAGACAGAACTTCTCCATGTACATATAGATTCATTAAAGACCACGTATTGGATATACTTGTTTAAACAACTGTCAATCCATCTGATAATAGGACCATCTATCCCATATTGTTCCATTTTATTAAGAGGTTGTAGCTGAATCCTGTAACAACCCTTACTGAAGTTTAGGTATATTATATCTACAGCATTTCCTTGATCTACTAATTGTTCCTTTCCAAGTGTTTGCAGTATTTTCTAGTTTTTTTCCAAGTATTGATGTCAAGCTGATTGGTCTGTAATTTCCTGAGTCTACTCTTTTCCCTTTTTAAAAGATTGGAACAATGTTAGTTTTTCTCCAATCTTCTGCCATTCTGCTGTACTCCAGAGTTCTCAAAGATTACTGTCAATGGTTCTGAGATTACTTCAGCCACCTTCTTTAGAACTCTGGGTTCCAGTCCATCTAGCTCCAGCAATCTGAATTTATTCAAAGCAGCTAGATGTTCTCTCACCCCTTTCTTTTCTGTTTTGACTTGCATTTCTCTTGTCCCTTCCCCTCCCCCATGCTGCAACTTCTGACAGGTTGGCCATTTTTTCCTTTTCCAAAAATATAGATGCAAAAGATGATCTTAGTGTGTTCATTTATTTTAATAATAAACTCTGGTCATGAGTTTTGACAGAAATGAAACCAAATCAGGTCACTGTAAAATTAATAATATTAGTATGTTTCTGGAAAGCCCAGCATTTGTAATATACTAAATTAAGTTTTATAGTTACGGGGGCAATTATTCTAAAATAAACCAGTAGCTTCAAAAAGTTGAATGTGGGTTGAAAAAGAAAATTAGGAGATTGGAGTTGGCTGCTTCAAAATGTTTCAGGGACAATAGCCAGAAGGGAGGCATAGCTAGATGGAATCTGTGTAGAAACAACATACTGCCAATACTTTTATAGTTTCCAGTTAAACTTAAATGTTTTTATGTATATAGGAAGTTGCTGAATATTTGTGATAAATTAACAATTCTTTTAAAGTCACTAGTTTTGTTAGAAGTAATAACTTTGAGGTCTACAGAAAGACTGTCTTCTTCCCCACCTTTTCCCCCCAGACTTGTTGTCTAGAATAGACTTGGATGAACTGATGAAAAAAGATGAACCACCTCTTGAGTTTCCTGATACTCTTGAAGGATTTGAATACACCTTTAATGAAAGTAAGTAATGGTTTCAGAAAAAATCACTTAGAAACAATCAAATATTATTTTTTCAATACTTTGGTTTTATGGCTTGGTATTGATTATCTTTCTACAGGTATGTTAAATAATTAGTAAAAGTAATAATCTGAAATAAGTTTTCCCTAGGTTAGAAAAGTACAGATATTCATGTTCTTGCCATACATAAGTAAAAAAGAATTGTAAATATACATTGGGGAAAAATCTGAATCTTTTTACTCAAAATACCATTGTGAACTATATCTTAATAACTGATGTTAAAGATATTGCATATTTTAGTTTAACAAGATACTAAGTATCAAATACTCCGTAAAAATATTAGCTTCTTTTTTCATGTCACATTTTCCAGTTTTATGGAAGAAAAAACTTTTCTTTAAATATAATCATGTATGTAACACTTTACATACATGATTATAATTACATGTGTCACATGTGTCACATGCATGATGTTGAAATGTTAGAAGTTCGACCATTCTCATGTTTGAAAGGCATTGCTATATTAGCACTAAATAATTCTTTATTCTATGTCATCCTATTGGAGCTGTTACTATAAGTTTTTTACATGCCTTTAACATCCTCATTCATGTTTTTGTGATTTAGAGGGAAGATATACCTTTTTATTTTGATTTACAAAAAAAGTTCTAGTAGGTGGTGACTCAATGAAGATTAAGAGCACTTCAGAATATACTGTAATTCAAAGCAGTGTGCTATGATTTCCTCAGAAAGGAAGTAGCCTGCTTTAAAAATAAGCACAAAAATTGAGCAGGGATTTTTAATAATTAGATGTACTGGAAGAAACAAAATGATTGGCATGAAGAAAGGGTTATTGGAACTGGATGTGAAGCTGGGGCGGAACATTTCATTGGCAGTTAGTAAAATCACATTGAAACTGATACAATGAATAAAAAAGTTACTGTAAGAAAGAATACTTTTGCTTGATTAACATACTTAGAGGCAGAAATGCTGAGATAGCATAAAGTACACATTTTATTACTAGGCTTCAAGATTTTTCCAGACTAATGATCTTCTCAAATAAAAGATCTTATTACTTATTTGTTTGTTTAGACAAATATAGTATTGAACTGTATGTAAATCCTGCTTTTATATCTAAATACAGGTGAGATTATTTTAAATGTTCTTTTAATTGCTTCTCGGATTTATTAAATTGGTAACTATATATGACCAAATATTCAACTCAAGCTATAGTTTCTAATAAAATTTTCTCTGCTTAGTTTAAATTTCCTTTTAGTTTTCTATTCAGCAACCTACTGTTTTGATTTCATCAGTAATTAGATATATACAAAATAAATCTATACTGTATGAAAAATAGTTACTACTTTTGTGTGTGTGTGAGTCAGTGTAGCTCCTGGTGACCGCCTGGGGTAGTCCCTGCAGTTTTCTTGGAAAAAATTTTGGAAGTAGTTTTCCATTGCCTTCTTCCTAGGACTGGGAGAGAGTGACTGACCCAAGGTCACCCAACTGGCTTTGTGCATATCAGGAATAGAATTCACAGTCTTCCGGTTTCTAGCCTGGTACCTTCAGTACTACACCAAACTGGCTCTTAGTTACTACTTGCATAAAAATGTTATTCAATATTTTAATGATTTTATTAATGATTTATTTAATGATTTTATTCAATATTTTAATGATCCCATATTTTAAGATTAAATTAACATTTAAAATGTGGCCTGAACCGGTTCCACATTTGAATGAAAGATGTCAGATAACTGTGAAGTTTTTGTTTAGGTGTTTTGCATGTGTTTTGTTACCTTAAGTGGATATGAGAGAAAGATCTTAACAAATCTATAGTTTACTTATTAAAAAAAATAGTATTAAGAGCATGGGCATATAATTAGTGATCCACAGTATTTGTAATGGCTGTTAAATCTGCATTAATTTGAAGAATCAGAATGAATTCCTTAAGTTTCATACATGACATTCAGCTTTGGGTAAAAATTTATGAGTGCTGCAGAATTGCTCTTAAAGTATTTTCCCCCTTAAATTACTTCATTTTATTTATTTATTGCATTTATTTATATATCACTCCATCACAAGATGTGTAGTTTAAAACTATACAAACCCATACAAAAAGAAATACCATAAAACCGAATAAAACATCTTTAAAACCCCAACGACTCTTAACCAACAGACTAAAACATGAGCTAAAAAATAGCAGCCCAACATCACCATTAGATTTCAAAAACTCATTGTTTTGAAATGAGTTTACACAATGCCAGTAGTGAAGGGATGACTGCAGAGAAAATCTACTTTTAGATCCATAATAGTGATTTATTATGCACTTACAACTAAGTGTGTTATAAACAGTCTAAAACAGCATTTGATACAATAATGTATGACAATAATTTATTATATATAATATGAAAAAGGTCAATAATATATGATAGTATTAAGTTCTGTACATTCAAACTAACAGGTAGGAATTTATTTATTTTAAAGCATCTTCACAAGGCCCTTGAAAAAGAGGTCTTTTTAGAGGTTTTTTTCCATGTTGAATTTACCTCCCAGGTGTGATCACAGCCATAAACAGCCCTTCCCTAGATAACCATATATAATGAGAAGAATGTGCTTGAAGTTTTGGATCTATACTATGAAGATCTACTGTATCTCCTTTTACTTTTACCTGTTTGAATCTTGAACTGGATTCTAAAAATTACAAATAAAATTCACAATTAGGGCAGGATTAGACAACTTTTTGTTGCTTCCAGAGCCCCACAAGATTGTGCTGCTGAAATTTGGTGGTTTGATTTTCAGCTTTTTAAAACAATAACACAGGTTATTATTCTGTTTTTTAAAAACTGGAAAAATTGGGGCTGAAAATGTTGCCACTATATTCCCTGTTTTCCTCAGAGCCCTCCCCTCCCAAAAAAAAGAAAAGAAAAAGATTGCCTGTTCTTACTTTAGGACACTTTCCTATATTACTTTGCCATGAATTCATTTTTTAATATGCAAAAAACCTAAGTCCCAAAGCTCTTGTACAGATCAACTGATAAACCTTCATAACCACAATGCCTCATCTGCTTTTTTCAGAAGTTCTGACTTTTAAAAAGATAGATTACTTTCTCATATGACTGGTTATTTTTAAGTACAGGTAGTCCTCAGTTAATGACCACTTCTCCAGTGACCATTCAAAGTTGCGATGGTGCTGAATGAGTGGTTCTTACGATCAGTCCTTGATGTTCTAGCTGTTGCACCACCCCCGTGGTCATGTGATTGCGATCTGGGCGCTTGGTAGCCAGCTCGCACTTATGTTTACAGTGTCTCACGGTCATGTGATCACCATTTGCAACCTTCCCTGCTGCCTTATCACAAGCAGAGTCAAAGGGGAACCCAGCAGGGAAGGTTGCAAGTCGCTCCTACTGTCTTTTTTCCAGAGGAGCCCTGCAACAGAGCACAAAATCCCAGGCACCCCCTCCCCAGCCTGCACACACTTGTGTGGCGCTGTAGCATCCCCTCCCCAGCCCACATGCACTCACCACAGCAAACCCCACGCCTCACTCCTAGTAGTCACCCACCCTCCGGCCTGCTTGTGAGCCACCTGGGACTTGCAACTTCTGTCCTATCCCAAGCCAAACACACACAACACATAGGGAGGTGATTGCAAGCTTTATTAAATGGTTTTTGCAAAGTCAATAAATAAGTGGCAAGAAGATGTGAGTGTGAACAAACATGCTGCAATAGAGAAACAAATTCCCCAAAGTTTATCAAGCTTGCCTTAAAAGAGTTTCCATCCAAAACAATGGCTAGAAGAGTAATCAGGCGAGTCCGAGGGTCAAAAACTTTGTAGAAGATTTGTCAGCTGGTCCAGTTCCAGAGTCAGGGTTGTGAGGTTCGCAGATCAGGAATCAAGGTGCATGGAGTAGGAGTTAATGCGTGATTTTCATCAACGGAGAGACTGGAGCTTGCTGCTCTTCTAAAATAGGAGCAGCCCTCGTGTTGCTCATTTGGAAGGGTGAGGCTCCTTTCTTACAAGAAGCCTCACCAAGCACCTCTGCTCTGCTCTCCTCTGCACAGTGAGCCCTTATGCTGGGAGGGTTACTGGACAGCCCCACCTCCTCTGCCTGCAGCTGCTCAGACAGCAGTTTGTCCAGTAACTCTAGAGCTCTCTGCTCATTGTCAGTCTCCTCCTCTGAATCTGAGCTCACTATAACTCTATTCCCCCCTCCCGGGCCTTCCTCCCCTGTAGCTCAAGGCCTGGGCTTCTGTGGGTATCGCTGACGGAAAAGTCATATGAGATGGGGGGCATGAACATCTTCCGAGGAATATTCCTCTGGTCTATACCCCTCGCAGTCTACCAGATACTGGAGGTGTCCCCAGTGAAGACAGTCTGGGATGCAGGTCACCTCATATTCAGGTTCCCCATGAATGTCGACAGGTGGTGGTGGAGGTGGCACAGACCAATGAGGGCTTGCAGACACTGCTGATACCAAGAGGGACTGATGAAACACAGGGTGTACACAAATGTGTGTGTGTGTAACATAATCTGAAAAGTCACTGGCTTGATGACAGCCTCTACAGGAAATGGTCCCAAGCAGTGATGATCCAATTTTTGTGATGGGCGAAGTGTGGAAAAATGTTTGGTGGATAACCATACTAAGTCTCCGATGGCTAAAGAAGGACCCAACTGATGATGTCAATCCACAAATCATTTCTAGTCTGTCTTAGCTTTTCCCAATTGGTCTTGGAGAACTTGATGAATCGTCTGTAATTCCTGCATGAACTGATCAGCAGCTGGAACAGAAGAATCTGACCAAGAGAATGGGAAGAAATGAGGTTGGTCAGAAAAGGTGTCTTCTGAGTGGATGTGTGCTGTGCATTGTTATATGCAAATTCTGCAAGAGCCAAGAGGTCTGTTCAGTTGTCCTGCTGGAAATTAACATAACAGCACAGGTATTGTTCCAAGACAGCATTGACTCGTTCGGGCACTCCGTCCAACTCCGGATGGTGCACAGATGATAGGTGAATTTGGATCCCCAGGTTCTTGAGGAGGGCCCCCTAGAAACAGGCAGTGAACTGTGGGCCCTGATCTGAAATTACACACTTGGGTAATTCATGAAGTTTAAAGATGTGGCATAAGAACAACTCTGCAGTTTCCTGAGCAATAGGTAAACTGGGGCACGCAATAAAATGTGCCATCTTGGTCAACATGCCAACTACAGCAAGGATTGCTGGGGCCCCCTTGGACTTGGGTAAGTTGGTGATAAAGTCCACAGATATGGCCACCCACGGAATGTTGGAGTGGGAAGTGGTAGCAAGAGTCCAGAAGGTTTTCCGGGTACATTTTTGGCCTGATGGGGGACAGAATGCTACATATTGACTTACATCACTCCAAATGTGCCACCACATTGAAATTAAATGTAGGGTCTTAAAAAAAACCAAAGTGGCCAACTGTGGGGCCGTCATGGCACAGTTGTAAGATTATGCTGCACATTGAACCTGCCGGTACATAGTAGCATCCATGGAAGCACAACAGGTCTTCTTTCCAAGTCCAAGGATTGGGTTGGTCTTCAGGTATCTGTGGGAGATCTTCTCTACATGCTTGAGTGTATGGATCCTGGTTTAACTGCTCCCAAATTTGTTGGACAAGGTCTACTGGAACCTGGGTGGCAGCAAACTTTTCTAAAGGAATGACAGGTCATAGTGGTACTCGATTCTCCAAGCAACTGTATTCTGGTTTATGGGAGAGAGCATCTGCTTGTTGGTTATGCCTACTTGGAATGTAGGTTATTTTGAAGTTGAACCAGGAGAAAACTAAATCTGATTTAGTTTTGGCGGTCTTTAGGTGTTCCAGATTCTGGTGGTCAATTTGAACTTCAACAGGATGTGGGCCACTTCCAGGTGGTGTCGCCAAACCTTGAAAGTGACGTTAATAGCCAGAAGCTCTTTGTCACAAATAGTGTAATTTCTCTCCATAGGCACAAGCTTTCAGGAATAGTAAGCACATGGCAACAAAATAACTGACTGCCGATGTGCTTGAAGTAATACTGTCCCAATAGCAATATCCAAAGCATCCATTTCTATCTTCTTCTTTTTTTTTTAATTTTTTTTTTTTTACAACAAACACAAACAAACAATAACATAAAAAGCATAAAAAAAACCATCTTCCAT